CAACACCCCCTAATCCTGCCCACCCCAAGGGACAAGAGGATGAGCCCACCTGGAGTTCTTGCCCAATCATCTTTTTCATGCTCTATACCTAGAACCCTGATGGGCATGTGCTCCTCTAGGCACATGGAATAGTCAAAGGGTAACTATGTGAGGGCATGGATAGAGGTTAGACATGGGACCCACTGATCTTGGAAAAAATGTAAAATCACACCAAAACCAGCAAAGGTTTAGAATTGAAAATTTTATTATTTGGTGAAGCCGCAGTTCTATCTACAGGTTTCTAGCTTTTCCAGACAGTGTAGAAATGTTTCTAAATTAGAACCACTTTCCGTTCCATCCAGGTAGCTATTTGGAGGATTGTGTGTGAATTTTGAGAGGAAATAAAGTAGATAAGGAAGAACCAGAAATGACTATGAGAATTCAAGAAATAATATATATGGGCAATGTTCTTCCAGAACCATGATGACAAAATGTGTCGCAGGGTTGAGAAGAGATTGATGCTTCCCTATTAGCTCAGAACCCACCATCACTGATAATTTAAACAACCATAACACTTAAAACAGCAGATGATGGCATTCTAGGCATGGATTCTAGAGATCAGTGAGAGTAATTTAGGGACAGAGAAATAAAGTTTATCTCAGCAGTCTGAAGGGGTGGCAGGCATTAGCCAGGCAGAGGAGCACAAGGGAAAACAGTTGCATGGGATACTACAAGATGACTTGAGTCATTGGATGATTCAAGTAATGACTGGGAACCTCCATAGATCTAGCTTGTAGGGCTTCAGTCATTTTCATCTGCATGTTCAAAGTTAAGCAACTGACATGAAATGACAATTCACAGGAAAAAAAACTACAAAGGGCCAATAAGTATTTGAAAGACACTCAACTTCACTCAATAAGTATAAATTAAAACATCAAGATAAAAATTTTCTCCAATTAGATTGGCAAGATTGAACAATATATCCTATGGAGAAAAAGACACCCATACATGACTCATTAAAACCATCAAGGAATTTCACCTAATGGAATACTCAGGAGCACAAAAACACTATTACAACATTGATTATCATAGCAAAGAGAAAAGAAAGCTGGACAACATAAATGTCCATCAATAGGGTAATGAATAAATAAACCATAAGAAATGTTACAAGGGAACATAACGCAACAATTCAACTCAGTAGTTTGAATTTATAAGATGGAAGTTCACGGGGTGGTAAGGAGACATATGAAAGCTGAAGAACAAATGATACGGACCCATTCCATTTAAAAAACAAACAAACAAACAAAAAAAAACCCAAAACCTACACAGGCAGAATTTAGTTAGCAAGCCACAGTCTCATAGGTGCTAGCAGAAGATACAAGACTTCTGGGTCAGAGATTAAGGGCAGTTTATTACTCACAGTAAAAGCACAACCTGAGTATCAGTATTTGCGCCAATGCCTCCAGCCACAATTTCCAAAGGGCAATGAGAAGCAGGCCAAGTGATGTGGTCACATACAGTGGGTTGTGTTAGAGGAGAGGAACACTGAGTTTAGAAAATCCAAATATTTTATACTGGGCAGTAAAAGCCTTCCTGATCTCAACCTTATTAAAAGAGAAGGAGTGCTTGCTTTGGCAGCACATATACTATTATAAGGGAAGGAGACATTACTTTTATAATGCTGCTTAGTGAAGAAAAAAAAAACAAAAATATCAAAAAACACTCACTCTTTGCTCAGGAGGTAAACACTATATCTTCCAAGGGTGTTCATTACAAAAATTTTAAATATGGTCCTGAACAAAGGCAGTCAGTGTCTCTTCCTATAAAACTTGCAGTAACATGAAAAGCTCATGGAGAATTCCATGAATTCTCAATGTTCCATTTCATTCTCATTTTGTGTAAACGAACAAACAAAAAATTGTACTTGTCAACTAAAATAATATTTTACCTAAACTTATAACAATGAGAATGTTGATACTGTACTTATGAAATACCATAAAAGATATATTTTTATATGTAAGAATATGTTTTGATTGTGGTTGATGTATTGCTCATTTTATGCACATTCTACAGAGTAGAAAATGGCTGATAATGATTATTTCATGTAATAAATATTTTTCATTTGCTTGGAAAGAATAGCATCCAGACTGATTACTAGAATTACTCAAGGCAAAATTAGAGAGATTTTTTTTTATTATTTAGCTTTAATAATAACCATCACATACACAACTTTTTTCTCACACATTTTCCACTGGAAAATTCTTCTTTAAAAAAACAATTGCATGTCAACATCTCAACATGAACCTTTTACTCTCTGAATAATACATACTACTTGTCTAGAGGAGTATAATTAAACAATAGATTTTTGAGCTGAACTTTCAACTTCTTCATTTTATATTGAAGAAACTGAATCCCAGAGACATTAAGTGACTTGAAAATGGCCAGCAACTGGTTAATGTCAGAGCTGAGACCAAACCCCACATGCCCTGACTTGGAGCACAGGCTCTTTCTTCTTATCCAAAGCCACATACATGATATGATAGAGCTTTCAAATTGGGGTATGCATACCCCTGCAGGCAATGGCAGTATGCCAGGGAGGTAAAGCCACAGGATAAACACAGGGTGTCTTGCTTCAATGTAAATATTACTCAAAGATTTGAGGGGAATTAGGGGAGCCACTTTATTTTTATATTAAAACAAGATTGATTGTAAAGCAGAATGTGCATTTTACATGGATTTTTTAAATTTCAAGCTGAATTCCTGAGGCTATAATCCCATCTCATAGAGGTAAAAAATCTCTCTGCTCACTCTGGTAGGGATACCTCTTTTGTAAAAATTTTATGCCACCAATGTGAGGATTTCTAGGAAGTTCCTTTTACCAAAAAAGTACTTCACTAACTTCCATCTTTGACCGTCTATAATTAAATTTGCATTATTTTAGTCCTCAGGATCAGTTAAATTGTGAATTTTTCCCAAGGAGAGAACACATTAAGACCTCATAATAAATGAGTTTCTGAGTTCCTTTACGAAGAATAGAGCTGTTTTTTAAAATTCTTTTTTCTCTTCTTAATATTGAGTAAAATGAAAGAATAAAGGATACTATTTTTAAATGTGATTTTAGTAGAAATTAACTAGTTAGTAGTTTACTTATGTAAGATGCTCTGTAAAAGTATTTTGCATATGATTCTAAAACACATCTGTGTCATGTACGGAGTTGAACAAATAGTATGCATTTCCATTTTTTTCACGTATTATATACATGAATGATATCTGAAATTCTGTAATCCATATTAATAGCAAAAATGGGAGGCAAGAGGCCAGTAAATTATTGTATACATTTTCTCAGTGGATCATTCCACTCAACTGATTTTTTTTGAATTTTTTTAAAATTTTTATTTATTTATGATAGTCACAGAGAGAGAGGTGCAGAGACATAGGCAGAGGGAGAAGCAGGCTCCATGCACCGGGAGCCCGATGTGGGATTCGATCCGGGGTCTCCAGGATCACGCCCTGGGCCAAAGGCAGGCGCCAAACCACTGTGCCACCCAGGGATCCCACACTCAACTGATTTTTATTTCTGGGATATAAAACCACTTTGACAGTCGTTCTCAGATGATCACTTCTTCTGTGATAACTTGGAAGACTTTTACCCACCCACCTCCACCAGACCCAAATACATTTTCAGAAGTATTAAAAGAGTGTGTGTTTGACTTCTTTGAGTCATTTTTAAATACTCTATTCCAACTCCAGCATTTTTTTAAAAAAAGATTTTATTTATTTATTCATGAGAGACACAGAGAGAGAGAGGCAGGCAGAGACATTGGCAGAGAGGGAAGCAGGCTCTATGTAGGAAGCCCGATGTGGGACTCAATCCCGGGACCATGGGATCATGCCCTGAGCCGAAAGCAGATGCTCAACCGCTGAGCCACCCAGGCATCCCTCCAGCATTTTTTTTTAATGCAAGTAACCTGACTCGTTTCTAAAACCTACATTTAATTCTAGACCTCAAGTTCAAATGTGGACCCAAAAAACCAACTAATTCAATTGAATCAACATTTACTGAATGCAGTATATTAGTAGGCCCTAGCAGAAAACAATGATGGCATAGACAGACTCCTGCCTCCAGAGTATCCCAAGCTAGAGGGGAACAAAAGTCACATAAAGAAGATCATAAGATAGTCTAGGCAAGAGATTCCAATAGAACTAGGGGAGCCATCAATTAACAATAACAACTTAAAGACTGGAAAAAAACTTGCCAAATAATGGCTCAGCTTACCCATTTCCTGCCAGTGGGAAGACTTTTCAGCTACTGAACCAACATGCACTTACTCTTCACAGCCAAGAGTTCCATTGTTCTGTGCTCCTGGAATCTCGGGCTCCTGGATACTGCCACCTCCACCTCCATCCTGGAACTGGGTCTAGGATGAGGCAAGTAAGACACCGGCCTTAGTACAAAAATGTAAGGCATTCAAACTCAGCAACCAAAACAAATGTCCTTTGCAATATATATATATTGTTTTAGAAATTCAAAATTAATGCAACAGCATTTATAAAGAGTAGAATGTCAAAATGTAAATAAAGGCAGGGTTAGCAGTCCTGATTTTTTTTCTTTTTTGGTTCAAGCTCCACTAGGATTCTGCAGGGCATTCCTTCACCCTCACCCCCACATGTGGCCAGTGGTACATCTAATCCTCAGAAGGCTAAATTTTCTGATATTTAGAGCTCAAATCAATGAAATTATTATTAGTTGGGTGATTGCCATTGGGGTAATCACCTGATCTCTGGCATCCACAGCCAGCTTCAGCGCACACTGGAGAAGCACGAGTTTGTCCAAGGTCCGACGTGATGGGCGATGCAGGGCCTCACGTGAAAACGTCACAGAGGTCAGGGATTGGCTTCACATCTTCCCTAGTCTGGATTGGCTTTGAGATGCCGAGATGGCGTAACTGTTGGTAACAGAACAATGAGCTGTGGGCTGGCTTGGGTGGATGCTGGATGCCGCTGCCTTCCCCGCTGCCCTGATGGCTTGGGACCCGAACCATCTGCCCGGGGGTGCCTCCCGACGGTTAATCAGGACTCGGGAAGCTGCCCTGGAGGTCAGCCGTAAGGTAAGCGCCCCCCCCCCACCTTCTGCAGGCTGCGAGCCCCTCGGGTCCATGCCGGAGCCTGGGGTGGGCCGGAGGGGGTGGAACGTGGGGAGCCCCGGGCGCTCCCCGGGGCTGGAGGCCCATGACCTCCGGGGTCGGGCGTGGGGATGCCTCTGAGCCCCACTAGCGGACTTGCGGGAGGAACCTTTCCCGGCTGACCCTCTGCCACATGTATAACAACAGCAGTTCAGAGATTAGGTACTAAAGCCATACATTTGGAGTCTTGACTCTCCAAAAGATACGTGTAACCCAGAAATGCCATTCCCCAATGTGCAAAGGGACACCCTGACGAGGAAAGTTTCTTTGTCCGACAGTAGAGTTGAGGCCAGTTAAGATAAAAGCTTCAAGAATGCTTGGGGGTGGGGGGTGGGTCAGAATTGTCGGACATGGGAGCTACCCAAGTGTTGAAGAGTTCCAGGACCCATCCGAAGAGGCTTGGGGCTGCCACGTAAACCAAGGCTGGGGGTTCTATAAAGATCTGAAAGCTGGGATCCCTGGGTGGCGCAGCGGTTTGGCGCCTGCCTTTGGCTCAGGGCGCGATCCTGGAGACCCGGGATCGAATCCCACGTCGGGCTCCCGGTGCGTGGAGCCTGCTTCTCCCTCTGCCTGTGTCTCTGTCTGTGTGTGTGTGTGTGTGTGTGTGTGTGTGTGTATGATTATCATGAATAAATAAAAATTAAAAAAAAAAAGAGTGAAATCTTGAAAAAAAAAAAAAAAGATTTGAAAGCTACTCACACTGTCCTAACCAAGTTGTGGTGCCTGTGTGTTGTGTGTAGCTCTGGAAACTTATCGTGACCGAAGGTAAATCACCAAAGAGAATGTTTTCTTCTATAGATTCTAATAGAGACTTCATTCTTCCGGGATTTAACAATCCAACAATTTTCAAACATTTTTTCCCCCTATTTTATGTAGATGCTAAGGCATGGGGTGGTGGACCAGGAAGCTGCTCCTGTCCTGTGCCAGAACTGCCCACACCCCAATTCCATGTTGGATTGTTTTTATTGCCCTGTTTGGTCAATGAGTTAATTTGAAATCTGACTGCACTCCCCCCCTCCAAGAGACAACTGAAATTATTGTCCAAATTCAACACCTCTTTTGAGTAATATCCTTCACTACCCTCCACAATGCTGCAGGTTGAAATCCTACCTTCTTGAAATCTGCTTTCTGGCCTCCCACTGTGCTCTTGTTTCTCCTCACTTTGTAACCATTGCTCCAAACCTTCCTTCTGTCTTCCCAGCTTGATTTCCTCCTCCTCTCTCTAAATGTGGGTACTTCCCAACAGTCTAAGTGGGTACCATTCTCTCCTATGCACTGACCTGACTTGCCAGGCTGCACACACCAAGGCAAGGTCCACTCTTCTACCTGCAGCTTTCTGGTGTGCACCTTGACACGGGTGTCCCACTGGTGCCACAGTTTCAGTGTTTCCAGCTGAATTCATTTTCCCTTCCAGGTCTTCTTCTCCTCATCCCATCATCGCATTACCATCACCATTTGGTATTTTGCTCACCCTTACTCTGCCTTATTGTTTGCCAGTTTCCATCAATTCTCTCTGCATGCCCTATGTCACGTCTGCTCATGCTCCCTCAAACTTGCCACTATCCTGGCACCTTGCCTTGATCCGCCAGAGGCAGTCTTGCTTCCTGTCTGCAGTTCCCTTGCCCCCCGACCCATCATACATTTGCTGCTCCTAGACTCACTTTCCTGAGGCCTTGCTCTGTCAAAAGCTGGATGTGGCCCAAGTGCCCCTAGACAGAAAAATGGAAAAAGAAAATGGAGCATATACTACCTACAATCGAATATGATTCAGCCTTAAGAAAGAAGGAAATTCTGACACCACAACATGATGAATCTGAAGATGTTATGCTTTGTGAAATAAGCCAATCACAAAAGGACAAATACTGTCTGGTTCCACTTAGATGAGGTACCCGGAGTAGTCAAATTCATAGATTCAGAAAATAAAAGGGTGTTTGCCAGGGGCTGGTGGGGGGAAGGGGAAATGGAAAGTTAGTGTGTGATGCGTACACAGTTTCATTTGGGGAAGATGAAAACTTCTGGAAAAGGATGGTGGCCATGGTTTCACAACAGTGTAAATGTCCTTAATTTCACAGAGCTGTACAGTTGAAATAGTAAATTCTGTATTAAATATATTTTACCACAATAAATAAAATAGTTGAGGGAAGGAATGCTTGTTGTGCTTCGTTAGATGAAAGGAATAGGCTGCTCGTGAAGTTGTGTGTTGATTGGGAACTGGAATTGGTCCACCATGGCTTCACTAAAACTCAAAACTTCTTGGCACATTTTCGTGTTCTTTGGCACTTTGACGCTAATACTTGTTACTAGATTCATATGAAACTTTTGGTGGGGAAGAAGCATTCCATGATAAAAAGCTCCATAAATAAATAATTAATTACACCAGTGATCTACGTAGTATGCTGATAGCTTCAATTTCCTTTTTCATCTCTTAATTTTTGAAATTTGACTTCAATCCTTAAGTATTCATTCCATGGCTAACGTTTTCAAAATTTGTATTGATTTCCCATTGCTAAATTAATACATGCTTATTTTTAAATGTCCAAATATTGTTTTTATTCTTGTTTTATTTTTGGCAAATAATATTTAAATGCTCAGAAAATGAAAGTCCCATGTGATCTCAAGTAATAATTTTGTTAACAGTTTGAAGTGTATACATTTCTATGCATATAAATGTCATTGGTGGGGCACCTGGCTGGCACAATTGGTTAAGCCACCAGCTCAGGCCGTGATCTCAGGGTGGTGAGACTGAGCCCCACACTGGGCCCCACATCAGGCTCCATGATCAGCACAGAGTCTGCCTTAGTTTCTCTCTCCCTCTTCCTTGACCCCTCCCACTTGTGCTTTCTCTCTCTCCCTCTTTTCTCTAAAGTAAATAAATAATAAAGGTCATTGGTAACAAAAATAGTGTTAGACAATGCCAATGGCATTTTTACTTTGGATATCTAATTATCTATCTCTATAATTTTAAGTTCTACACAGTATCCTATTGTGAAGTTACATATTAATTTAACCTATATCCCCATTAATGGGGCATATCTCACAAATGTAGGTAATATATGCTGAGATAAACAATGAAAATCAAATTGTGTGTGTGCAGACACACACATACTGCTGTATTTGTCAGCACTAGATGTAGAATGGTGGTATCAAGGCAAAAGCACATTTATAATTTAATAAAGATCTGCAAAGTTCTTTTTAAGATTTTATTTATTTATTCATGAGAGAGAGAGAGAGAGAGAGAGGGAGGGAGGGAGGGAGGGAGAGAGAGGGAGAGAGGCAGAGACACAGGCAGAAAGAGAAGCAGGCTTCATGCAGGGAGCCCAACGTGGGACTCGATCCCAGGACTCCAGGATCAGGCCCTGGGCTGAAGGCAAGCACCAAACCACTAAGCCACCCAGGGATCCCTGAGCTGCAAAGTTTTAGTTCACTTTAAGTGGTCTTTAACATCTCAAAACTTTGACACAGTTGCAATTGACTGTATATGGTAGAAGCTAATAGTTTAGATGTTTAAGTTAAAATATCTAGACCCAGAAGGCTAAGCCTGATCCAATGGTTTTTTTCCCAACCCCTAAATTCAGACTGTTCTTTATGGAGTCATTAAATATGCTGATGGAAATGCTTCCACCTGAGCCAATGAATTCTCTAAGCCCCAAGACTCAGCTTGTGTGACAAGATACCAAAGAAGTTTGAGATATAAATTAGCAGTGACACTCAGTCCCTAATATATCTATCTTCCTCGCTCCTTTCAATATTTGTTCATCCCATTAAATCTTACTTTTCTTAAAGTCTTCTACTAAATAACAAAACTATTGTCAAAATTTCATAAATCAATTACTGACATCACAACCTCACCACCCACAGCAAATCCCAACTGAAATTTGGTCATTGTTTTGACTCTGATAATTACAATGTTTGTCAGATTCCAGTAGTGCAACAATTATACTTTCCACTTTTGTTGTGTCTTGTTAGCTTTACTCCTTCATGACAAATTATAGATGGGCTTTAATTTTTCCATATTATCTTAGGTCATGTGGCTTGTAAATGTTATTTTGTAATTTAGCAAAGGCTCTTAAGAAAAAGCAAAGCTCTTAAATTGCTGCTGTTGGATTTGTATTTTCAAAACAAAGCCTATGGGAATAAAAATTACTTATTCTTCAGCAAAAATTCCCACGGTGCAAGTATGTTAGTAACCAGTGAAGAATGAAGATACTGTACCTTTGCAAAGAAAGGGAAATGACATTTATTCACTCATATATTCATCTGACATTTATTGAAAATTTACAATGTCAAGCACCTGTACGATAATGTGCATTGTATCCTACTCTACCTGCAATCAGGATACTAAATATCTTCCATAAATATGAATTCTTCATGTTCAAAAGTACACTTAAGAATATTTAAAGACCAAGTCACTCTGATCCATAGAGAATCGAAAACTTGGTTTTAGTGCATATATACATACGTATTTTTTTCTCTTTGATTAAAAATTATTTATACATCTGTGCCCAGGATTAAGGATAATGAAATTCAACCACAAAAATGATTAAATAATATATAATTGTAGTGTTGGAATTTATCAGTTTAGAGTGGTTGCCTCCGTATTCACCTTTCTTTTGATCTTCTTGTAGACGTTATTGTTATTGACTGCAAATGTCTCTGTATTTTTGCTCAGTGGAATGTGGCTTGACAGATTAATTATATGTTATCAGGCAGTTGAAGATCAGCTAAAGATATGTGGCCGCAAGAGGGATGCTGATGTCTATGAGCTGTTCCTTTCTCAAAAGTAAGTCTTCTTTATATAAGAAATAGAAGAGCATCATATTATAATGTTTCACAGATTCAAATGTTCTTTTTCATTGTTTTTCCCAAGGACTAGATAGGAAAATACCACCCTCTAATTACTTTACCATTTGTTGGCATCCACAGTCTCTCTTAGAGAGGCAAGACGAAGTGGGTAAAAACAAAGATTACAGAGCCAGGCTGAGTCTGAAGCCTAGCCCTGTCTCTTCCAGCTGGGTGATCTTGGGCATGCCATCAACCTCCCTGTTAGGGCTATCAGGGTTAGCAATTAAAAATAAAGTCTGGTTACATGTGAATTTCAAAGAAACGAATATAACTTTTCCTTAATATTAAATTTGTCTCACACTTCCTTGGGTTTCTCTAAAATTCACATGTAAATGGGGCTTGTATTTTATCTGACAAACTTCCTGCCTCCAAGTAGAACAATGCTATCTTCTTCACAGGGTTGTTAGGTGAAGATGAAGTGAGTTAGTAGAAGGTAGAGGCAGACCTGGTACAAAGGAAGCACTCAAAAAGCATTGATACAGTTAATATTATTACTATTATTAGAGAATAATGGCTCATTATATCCCTATACTATAATAATAACCCTATTATGCCATACACCTAGCCAACAACCCCTACCCTATACTAATTTTACTGGTAAGTAGGAAACCTTCTTCCTCATCAATCCCCTTTCATTCCCCTCCAATTTCCCAGGGTGGCAGTCAGCAAAGTAGGTGCATCTACAAAACAGTCACAGTGCCTGAGATAGAATTGATGTGTAAGAGGAAGAGGATGTTATGGGTTGGATGGGAGTCTGACACCACAGTTTTTACTTGCCAACAAGTGACATCTGTGCAACTATACTTTGCATTTAATAACAATGATCCTATTCCTACTCTGCTTTTCCCTCCTTCATGCTTTTATTTCTGTGAATTCTATGTATGATTTTAAAATAAGCTTGACATACTTCTACTCATATGTAATCTTTGGAACTCAGCTACTCTTTTTGGTGGTTGTTTTTGGAACTCAGCTATTTTTTAGAGAAAATGTCCCACATTATCATTGAGGTTAATCACTTTATCTCTGGTGATTTGAGGAAATCCTTTATTGATAAACAGATTTCTTTTTTATGTAAAAATTTTTTAGATTATACGTGCAGAGAAAAATATTTATCTTGGTAATGGTCCTGAATATCTTGGTAGTAAGGGGAAAAACAGGTGGCCAATGTAAGATTTTTTTAAATATATATTTTAGAAAGGAACAAATATGGTAGATAATTCCATCACACTTAAAGTCATGCTGTGACTCTTCCTATAGATCAGTTAGTTTTACAATAACAATATACATTTTATGTGGTGAAAAGATTGCTACTCTAAGCCTTTCATGATTTTAACAACAGTACACTGCAAGGCTAAGTAGAAAACAATAAGAAAAGCTTTACCACACTAGAAAAAAAGTTAGAAATATTGATCCTGGGACAGTGGGCAATTAGTGGTCTTCTCTACTGAAGGACAATACATTTTATATCCTAAGAAAACTAAGTTAACATTTAATCCATCTGGATACAAAAAATGTTTTTGAAAGTTTTCTTGGTCCAGAGACCAATAAACTGAGTAAACTAGGTTATTTGCCTATTATTTGTCTCTGTTGCCCTTGGTGGTGGGGGGTTGGGGGGTGGGGTGGCAGTGGGAAGTGGTGGGAGGAAAGGAATCTTATCAATGTCTCCTTGAGTAATCATGGAGAACACAAACAACAGTGCTGACATCCTATTGTCAGCACAGGTCATTGCTGTCAGTAGGATTTCTCCTCTTTGCCTTCCATTGGTGTCACCTTGTAATGCAGCAGCCCATTATTGATTTCAAACAGGTTTATGTGTAGAACTAACTCTTCTGACTTGAGTTAAAATCCCTTTAAAAGGGAATCACTTTATTACATTATGTAATAGCTGCAAATTCAGCCTCAATATCACTAGTGCAAGGAAATTAATGACATTAATTTGACACAGGTGATATTTCAAAGTATTAATGTATTAAAATAACTTTTCTGGAAAATCCTTGGGGAAATCCTCTAAGCAGGGCTTGAGTTTCTCTGCTACCACATAATGATTGTTTTATTTTTCACAGGAACAGATGAAGCTAATGTTTTTTTTTGTTGTTTTTTTGGTTTTTTTTTTTTTTTTTTTTTTTGCCCAATGCAATAATTTAGCCATACTAGGATACAAATGCTTCTTCCCAGAAATAGGATACATATCTACAGTGATAGAGGGGGGAGTGCATCATGTGTATAACTTCTATTAGACGTTGCTTTTGAAGAGTCTGGAATATTTTGTTGTGCCAGAGGAGAACTCAAAGACTAATAGTGCATGACCAAAGGATATGTAGTCTGCTTGAAGTCCTTTGCTTGGGATAATTTGAGAATTTTTTTAAAAATGGAAAAGGATTTTAAAAAAAACTTCAAATACAAGTAAGGTGGAAAAGAGAATGATTGAAAGAAATAAAGGGGAGGGGTGGATGGTCTTGCCAAGTTTTTATTTAAATTGCAGTTACTTAATCTACAGTGTAATACTGGTTTCAGGTGCAGAATTTAGAGACTCATCACTTATATAAAACATCCAGGGATCCCTGGGTGGCACAGCGGTTTGGCGCCTGCCTTTGGCCCAGGGCGTGATCCTGGAGACCCGGGATCAAATCCCACGTCAGGTTCCCGGTGCATGGAGCCTGCTTCTCCCTCTGCCTGCATTGCCTCTCTCTCTCTCCTCTCTCTGCATTCTCATGAATAAATAAATAAAATCTTTAAAAAAAAAAAAAAAACATCCAGTGCTCACTACAAGTGCCCTCCTTAATACCCACCACCTATTTAACAGAATATCAGCTAATAAATGTAAAAAGAATGAGAGCATGAGAAAAGTCAGCATTTTTATAAACCCAAATCTTCTGATTCAGTAAGCATCGTCAGCTGAAGCTAAAGCTATTGAATAAGTTTTGGGGGGGATGAGACATACATGTAGTTGTCAGAGTTTTGCCCCACATCTTACTTCTCAGTGACAGCATTTGTGCTTTTACAATGGTGAGACTTGGCAGACATGGCCTGAACCAAGTGACTGAAGTCTCTTCACTAAGAGTGGGACAAAGTGGCATCACTTGCCTCCTTCTGTGGTGTAGTGATCACCACCTTTGTCGTTGAAAAATGGTCTACCTTGAAGTCAATCATGAAGAAGCAATCAGACAAATCAGAAATGTGAGACATTCAATCTGAAAATTGTCCTGGACTCTTCAAAATTCAATGATAAGGTAATATAAAAGGAAAATATTCTAAATTTAAGAATACTAAGGGATTATACCAACTGAAAATGCAATGCATGAATTTTGATGGGATTCTGGATTTAAAAAAAGCAAACTATAAAAGAAATATAGGGGCAACAGGGACAACTTGAATCTGAAAAGAATGTTAGATAAATTAATTCAATTTAACGTTTAGGTGTGATAACGTTATTGTGGCTATTCAGGAGGATGTCCCTGTGTGAGGGATATGCATACTGAAGTATTTAGGAGTGAGAGCCCTAACAATGATAGGTGTGCAATTTATTTTCAAATGATTCAGCAAGAAAATTATAAGTATATATTTTATGTAGATAAGAGAGAATGAGCATAAATGTGGCAAAATATTAAAAATTATAAGGGCAATGCAACCTTTTATTGCAATATTCCTTCAACTTTTCTTAATTCTGAGATCTTTCAATCTAAAAAAAGTTGGTGAGAAAGTTTCCTTTTGTTTAGAAATATTGTTTGCTGATTTAAAAAAATTTGTTTTCATAAAAATGTCATAAAATTTTCATTAAACTATTTCAAATAAGGATTAGTTCTTCAGTGTCCCAAAGTTTAAAAAAACCCAAAAACTCGTGAAAGGATGTTGCCAAAAATGAGTTAATACATGTAACATTAGTATACCTTTAGTATGGTTTAAGGGCTTAGAAAAGTGTGTGTGCTGTTTGATGCATAGAGACATTTACGTATGCATATCTGACCTGGGCACACATTTTCTGCCCTGAGAAATAAAAGAGATCTGAATATCCCAGCCCACAGCCATCAAGGACCAACTGTCCTCAGGGCTTTGCCCACTTTGCTGGTCACTCCCCCTCCCCACCCCACGCCTGTCCTTTTGCTGAGAGAGCGGCATCAGCAACAAGGTTCTGGACTCCCCACACAGTTCAAGAAGGATGGTAATATTTTGACCCCATATTAAATAAACATCAAAGGAAGAATAAAAACACTTCACCTCATCTCTGTCTCTTAGTATACAGCCATTTCCACATCTTAAATACAATATGGCCAAGATCTGGACACACCCAAAGTAAGAACCTTGCTCCAAGTGGGAGCCAATAGTGTTTCCCACAATTAGGCACAAATCCAATGTCTTCCACGCTTACTGTTTCCCCTCTGCTCTGTCCTCAGTAAAATCTTATTTTTTTTTCAAATTGATGTCCCAATAAATGTAATCATAACGGGGTATAAATTCTATTAATGTCATAAAGTGTTTTTCTTCGACATTTCCTTTAACTGACAAAAATCTTAATCCAAATGAACGAAGTTTTAATGATGGTATTTCGGAAATTAGTAGGTAGGTGTGCCAACAATTTTGAAAGACTGAAGAGAGAGGCCCTTCCAGTTATTCCAGAGTCCTACTATATAACCCCACTTACCCTTGAATAAATTAATTGTTGCTAATGTTCACTTTTTATTTTCTCTCCAGGGATCTGACAGAGGTCATCGATCTATCTAGGTTTAAAAAATTAAAATACCTATGGCTACAGCACAACAAGGTAGTGGCATATTTTATCTTTAAATAGCTCTGTTATTAAGTCACCATTTTAATCTCTACTTTGTCTCTCATGTCCTGTCACAACTGGCCAGCATAGGCTATTTCTTCCTGGATTCCTGGAAGAAAACTTCAGCAGTGTTAGTGACTTTTCTCGTCTCTCTTACATAATTCAAAATCTTACAGTCCATTGGAGTCCTAGTCATGGTTCAAGTTCAGAAATGAGAATGTCAGGGCACCTGAGTGGCTCAGTCAGTTAAGCGTCAGACTCTTGGTTTTGCCTCCATGAGGATCTCAGGGGTGGTGAGATCGAGCCCCAAGTAGGGCTCCTCGGGGAAGTCAGCTTGAAACTTCTCTCTCTGTCTGCCCCCTCCCCCCACTTGCATGCTAGCATGCCTGCTCAGTCTCTAAAATAAATCTTAAAAAAAAAAAAAAAAAGGAGAGGGGATCCCTGGGTGGCGCAGCAGTTTAGCGCCTGCCTTTGGCCCAGGGCACGATCCTGGAGACCCGGGATCGAATCCCACGTCGGGCTCCCAGTGCATGGAGCCTGCTTCTCCCTCTGCCTGTGTCTCTGCCTCTCTCTCTCTCTCTGTGACTACAATAAATAAATAAAAATTAAAAAAAATTAAAAAAAAAAGGAGAATGTCCAAGAGAGTATAGTAACCCACTTTCAATCTTTATTTGTAAATGAGACATCTCCCTACATTCTCTTGCTTATCCAGCTAGGGCTGACTGCAGATGGCCACTTGCCTTTTGTATGAGCTAGGAAGGTGTGGCTGGCTGTTCTCCTTTCCTTTCCCTTCTCCAGCCCTATCCAGGGTTATTATGGAGTGGTGAGGTGTAGAGGAATGGCAAGAGAGAACCAAAGTTCTTCTCATCTCATCTGTACCTTCTGGCACTAACAGATGTTCAAAGTCAACTTCTTTTCTCTTCATGGATTATTCAAGAGGAGCTTCCTCTGACTCTAATTCCTCTTTGCTGGCCACTCCTGACTTCCCCTCCCCTTTGATCCCAGTGGTACCTACCACTGACAGCCCTCCAGCTGGAGCAGACTACTATCTTGGGTGGGATTCCTGGTAAAGTACCCCAGATCAGTATGCCTTCAGTGGCTTGGCATGCAGTTGCCAGCACTCCCATACCTCTGTCCAGCTGTCAGAAGCCAAGGGCAGGGGGCGGTATCTCCCAGCTGCTATCCAAGCAGATCTAGTTTTCTCAGGAAGTACCAGACACTAAGCCAACATGTCCCCAAGTGCAGGGAGCTCTCATCAAGGTCACTGAGTATGGCCCTTAAAGCTTCTTTTAGAGACCAGGGTTCAGGAGGCAATGCCCTCCCACTGCCCCCCTACAGGGTGTCTGACTGGGCTCCCCGTGCCCTCCATGTCAAAGAGCAGGGCTGAACTAAAATGCAAACCCAAACAATCATTAGAGTTAGCAAGTCAGTTGATTATTCTCAACTTTCAAAAATTCGACTTCCCAACTGATTGTATTTTGTTCGTTAGGAATTGACGATCCAATCTGGACATTTTGAATTTAGACTTTCAAATACCAGCTGATTGAAAAGAAATAATTTCCGTTTCAACAGTAGTCCACTTGTCAAAACAGTCATCCCGACACACAATGCTGCATCCCTAAGCAGCCATGTTTATAAAAGCATTTCAATATCACATGGCATTTTCGGTCTTCTTTTGTTTTAATCGACTAAGTGGGAAATGGAAAATGAAAGTGCTTCCCATATTAAGTGTAAGTAAGCATAAGTCTCATGAGCTTGAAGTCATTTTAGGAGAACAAACACGATTACCTTTAAGATCCAGGCGTCTAGCAACTGAAATGGAAAGTGCACACACCACTTTGAGGCACACAAGCTTAAAACTCTTTTCAACACTCTGCCAAAAATTATCCTGGGTCACAGTGTGCGACCTCCGATCAGAAAAAGATGGAAATCCTCAAAAGCGTGGCATAAATGAATAATCTTTCTTTTTCATGTTTGCCTCTTGTGGTGTTCAGTTCTGAAGAACATGTACAAATGTCAGCAGTAGGTCTAAAGGGAGAGATATGATTAGACATTTTTAAAAATACATTTTGGCTTTTGGTAATGTGAATGCTCTCCCATCTCCAGTCATTGAATTTTCACACAGTTGACTTACAGATACACTGTGTACATAGGAAGGGGTTGTATATGCCGTCAACTATTTCACTTTCTTTTGTTTCTGAAGGGCAGTGAGTGGGGAAGGAATGCATCAGGAGGCTGAATTCTCTTTTTGTGCTTGGCCACTTGTTTGACAAGCTAACTATATTATTTCCAAAATCATCACCACTTAATTTTGTTCTTTTTTGGTTGTTATTCTTTATAATAATAGACTTATTTAGGGCATAAAATGTGGAAAGGCGATCTTATCCAAAATAAGTTTGTTTAAAAGATTTTATTTATTTATTTATTTATTTATTTATTTATTTATTTATTTGAGCGTGAGAGAGAGAATGAGCAGAAGGGCAAAGGAAGAGGGAGAGGCAGACTCCCCACCAAGCAGGGGCCCAATCACGGGACCCTGGGATCATGACCCAAGCTGAAGGCAAATGCCTAACCATCTGAGCCACCCAGGTACCCCTCCAAAATAAGTTTTAAGCATTAACTGGATAAGTGAATAAGCTCATATGAGGTTTCCTATTGGTCAGTAATTAACCAGTTGCTAAGTTGCCTGAATACTCATGCTCCATGAAAAATTGAAGTCTTATTCAAGATCCCGACTCTGATGAGCACATTAGCTATGATAGTACTTCACTAAAATTCATATGTAAAATTTTGATTATTACTTTTTTGTGAAAATCTAGATAGCACCACAGTCACCACTAAGAGGTCATTTATCATCATAGAAATGGTGTGGAGTGATGTGGTGAAAAACATCAATGTTGACATAAAAATGTAAATATTTAGAATTACACCATTTTGTTAACAGTGGTCTGAATTTGTGATCGGCATTGTTCCTATGTTAGTGAATATCTTAAACTACCCTCTATTTGGGAAAAACGAAGGCACAATGTAGTCAAATGAACCCATCTTTGTTGTTTATTTGTTTATTCAATCAGTAATTTTGTTGAGGTGTATGTACTAGATATTATTGTTGTCCATTCAATATCCATTTTCTTCTTTTACCTATCCAGCAGAATCTGGATTAAGGTTTTGGTATATATGTCTCCTTTTTACTGAGTTAGGTGACCCTGTCCCTAGTTCCAGGGAGTGGATCCTGAACTGTCTAAGTCATTCAGGATAATCCCATCACCCTTGTGAGTGCTAGTCAGTGAATGGGCACATAACACAATTATGGTAATAAGATTAAATAGGTAGAGGTGCTTCCAATGTCCCTGATTTCCTAGGTTTGCTCAGGCAATTCTGGTTCCTTCATGATGCACTCTGCATAGTCGGTCACTAGTTCTGCATCACCTCCATTTCTGGGTGACCTTCTGCTCAGCTCCCCTCATGCAATTAGCCAGAGGCAGCTGCTCTTAAATGCATATTGACTGAGGCCTCCTAAAGACTCCCTTCCTTGGGATGCCTGAGTGACTCTGTGGTTGAGCATCTGCCTTTAGCTCAGGTCGTGATCCCAGGCTCCCTGCATGGAGCCTGCTTCTCCCTCTGCCTGTGTCTCTCCCTCTCTCTGTGTGTGTCTTTCATGAATAAATAAATAAAATTAAAAAAAAAAAAAAGACTCCCTTCCTTGTCTCATCTTCCAGCAAGCCCAACCAAGGGAGTTTTAGGTCCATGGTCAATCCTTTCCTACCTTCCATGGGAAGTTGAAGCACTTGCCTTTAATACTATAATTTAAAATGGTCTACACATTTGATCTATTTGTGTTTTGACTCATCACCTCGAAAATTTCCCTTTACAGATATCAAAATGAACTCATAGTATTAGTGCCACATGCTGGTAGTCTTTCATTTCTGGAAGAACTAGCAATATTTTGGTATGTTTCATTTGGCTCAGATTGGAAGAAGCATTTGATGAGAAACCTGTAGAATGTTCTGGACAGCCAAGCAACTATCCAAAATGCAATCTGAGTTTCTGCCATGTAGCAAAGACCAAATAGGTGTCCAATTTTACAAAGTAATCTTAAATAAAAAAAACCTCTTTCTGACAAAGTCATTGTTTATAAGCTTCATCATCTAAAAAATAATTGAAAAACTTATTTATAATAACATATTCCATACCAATTGGCCAGAGAATGTTCTGATTAAAATAAGCAAAATCACTTCAAGAAATATCTTGGATTTGTTCTTCTATGCCATTAAGATATGTTATTGTTTCCTATCTCCTAAGTATTCAGCACATATTGAGAATTTGGTAAATAGCACACATTTGTATATTTTAAGAAGGAACATTGATATAAAAAATTAGCAAGTGTATTTTAAGAAGGAACATTGATATAAAAAATTAGCAAGTCATTTAAAAATGAAATAATTATCTTTAATATGCTATTTTAAATATTTGTAAAGAATTATTTGAATTACTACTTTTTTTCAAGTAACTTTATAACATATATCATGGAATTTTAGTTGGTTCCTTCAAAAAGTTTAGGTATATACATATTTATTTATTCATTTATACACAATATACTTTGTTCTAAAACACGATTTAGAGCAGCACAAATCCCATAGTAGAGTACAAGAGCTGTTAGAGAATAAAATGTACTCACATGCATTCCATATAATTTGGGCTCTTACATGTTTCTGTTGCCTTAGGGTAACATTAATTCTATCTTTTATGTCAACTTTGTTGAAAGAATTATATTTTGCCAAATATTTAAAACCTCTTCAAAAAAAGTAAACCAACATAAATAACCTAAATAAGGCTTCACTGCATGATTGTGAAATTCATAGATATCTACACTATATATCTCATTATCATTTAAAATGATTTAACCAAGAAATGTAACCTATTTTTGGACAAAAGCATATACAAAAATTTCAATAACATAGAATAAGGAGAGGAAGCATGAGAATAAAAGTCTT